CAATCGTCGCACTCCCAAACTCTCTTTATTCGTCTGTTGACACACATCCTCCCACCGCACAATATTTACACCCTTTTTATCATTCGTGTGCCCCTATATCAAGTTCCTGATAAGTCATTCCATACCATCGCAAATCTCCTTCAAAAGATAGTAAGTTTGTATTGTATATGAAGGCAAGGCAGTTAAAACGGACTTCGCCAAAGCAATTCTTCCGTCTAAAGATAAAGATTTGAATTTTCAATCGGATAATCTATCACGAACCATTAGTTCTAGATAGTCATATATAGCATATGTAACCCGTCGATAAAGTAAACAGATGTCATGATACATTCTAAGTAATCTTAATGATAAGAGAATTATTGTTATTCATTGAGATTTCATATTCGAGCACTAAGAGCATAAGCGTTCAATGTCAAATTATTGAGAACTATCTTTGGACACTGTCTTATATTTATCTCAGATTAATAAAAAATAGAAATTACATTTATAAGAAACAAAATTATTTGTTTTAAAAAAATTAACTTTATATGATAATTTTTACATATTTTTTATTAAAAACTAATTAATATAGAAATATTTTATTATTATTTTAAGTCTAGAAAAATTCACCCTAAATCTAAATCAATCAGATTCAGATAAATTTGAATAAATATTTAACCTAAAATCGATTTAAATTTTATAAAACAATGTGATCTTATCGAATGGGATAGAAACCTTAGTTAATTTTTCATCTATAGCCATGTGTTTTAAATTGAGTGATATTGGATTAAAAGTAGATAAGTTTTACCCACTAAAAGATAGACAAGTGTCCTTCAATCACCGAAATCAGGCTCCGCGGGTCACCGCATTTACTAATTTATGGAGGAATTTGTTGGCGCAGCCGCCATTTTTGTACTTTTTGTTGGCTTCTGTGGTCGGGACAAAACCAATTGGTTTATTATTTCCCCTAACAGGTTCAAGGTGCACATGAGCTTTGCCACATTATGATGGTATTAATAAATATTCTTTAATATGAAATATATGTATATCCTCTCAACTCACGGATAGAGTAAGGGCGGGCCATAGTGTTTTTGTGTAAGAGTAAATCATGTGACGTACATACATGTCACTTCCGTTGGAATTTGGAAACCGGCTCTATTATCCACTAACCATGTCTAAAAACCAGAAAAACCACCACCTGTGCCTCTCAGCCTTATCCATTTCTATCTAGGAATGGTAACGGACGGGGGTGGGTTTTGCTCCTCGTTCTTTATTGAACTTTTCATTGGGTGTCTCGTCGGAGTTTTTTTATTCTGTCTCCGAATTCGACTTAAAATATTAAACCTTATCCGATCTCGAGAAAAATCGAATAATCGTAGTTTTCATAAAAAATATAAAAAAACGATCACAAAAAACTGAAAAATGAGTCTACATGATTTACAATTCAAACTACAGTCACAAATTTAAACACAATTCTAAATAATTGTCTAAACTCCAAAATAAAACATATACATAATTAAATACAAATGTGTTCCGATATTCAAATCATACAACTAATATGCATACGTAATATTAAGTCAAATAAAGTCATCCAAAATCGGGTCGGGGCGAGATACCTAGGTTAAATGTTTTGTTTGTATTAAATATAATTAATATAAAAAATATAAAATATTATATATATAATCGGGGCGGGGCGGGGATACCTTACCCCGAACCCAAACCCGAATCCGAAAAAATCTCGAATTTTACCCTAATACCTTACCTAACCCGATATTATTCAAACCCAACTCGACCCAAACTTATCCAGATTTCGAATTTTCCGTCAGGTTCGGGTCGTTCTGCCATTCCTATTTCTATCAACTCCCCCACCTCCAACGCCTTGTAGAAATACTTGCCCTCCTTTATGTCTAAATCCACACATTCAATATCCAGAAACAGAGTTCAATTATGGCCGATATTGCTATGCTTGAACGAAACCTCTTCTAGAGATAATAAATATTTTTTTAATCACTAGTGTAGTTTAATTCGTATTTATTTTGACAATTATTTAAATTTAAATAAAGATTAATGTTTTAAAAGTAATTCTAAATTTTTAAAAAATATATAAAAGAAACTAAGAAAAATATAATTTATATATAATTAATTTTTTATCTAACACAAATAAACATTTGATGAAAATCAAAGGATAATTTTCTAATATATATAAATAAAATGTTTATTTATATATTTTAATTTAAATCCACATAAATATTATATATCATGTTATGATTGATTGAAGGTGTCATGCGACTTGTTTTAAGAGATATGATATATTAATATTTCCTAATGATATTAGTAATCGTAAAAATCAATCTTAAAAAATAATAGGTGAATTATGTGTTTAATATCTGAATTATCAATTTTATTTTGTTTCAGTATTTAAATTTTTATTTTTTTAAAAATTATACTAAAAGTTATTTTTTGTTTTATTTTAGTGTCACGTCATCAAAAATTTTAGTTTTTGTTTACTCGTTCAAAATGTAATGTTTTGAAAAAATTAAAAGTTCGGATACTAAAACAAATCAAAACTTATAGTTTAGATACTAAATGCATTAAATTTTTAACGGTGGGTATTAAAATGAAATAAAAATTAAATTTTAGGTATGGTTTTGAAATAATTAAAAGTATAGGTACTAAAATAGGTCAAAATTGATAGTTTGGGTATTAAATACGTAGTTTACCCAAAATAATATTAAGTTGTGATCTAAGAAAAAAAACAAGGGTAAAGTACACAAATGGTCCTTTAATTATAGTGCGTTGCTTTATTGAGTCACTCGACTTTTGAAAGTTATAAAATGATCTCTTGACTATTAAATGCTACTCTGTTGAATCCCTCAACTATTAAAACTAACAAAATTGTCACTCGACTATTCATATGCTTCAATATCATCTTTGTTGTTAAAAATTGACAGTCATCTGAACTGGACGTTAATTTGCTAACTGAAATATGATAAAATCATATTCTAATAATGTCTATTGGTATCGTCATTGATTTCAAACACTAACTCGATGACATAATATTTCAAGTAGTGGTTCAACAAAATTATACAAATAGAGACTTAATCCACAAAATACAGCTCAAACAGTTATTCTCGGTGAACAAGTTAACATCCATCTCAGACAATCTTCAATTTTTTTAACAAAAATGACGAGTTTATAACATATGAATAATCGGTGACCATTTTATAATTTTTAATACTGGAGAGACTCGATAAAACAGCGTTCAATAATTGAGGAGATATTTTTTAATTTTTAAAAATTAGAAAACTTAATAAAGCAACAGCTTATAACTATTTGTATATTTTACCTAAAAATAAAAAGATGAAAATAGAAAATAGAGAGATACACTTTAATAACCAAATCAATGCATATTAATGAGATATAAGGAAAATTTCTCAAAAACCTGTGAAAAAAGCAGCACCTAAAAAGGAATTATTAAAATTATTGGAATTCAGGAAAAGTCTCACAAAATATGAATTCCACATATGTGAACAGTAGAACTGCGAGTGTTCCATTATTTAGTAAGCATTCCCTTTTGTGAATGTGGCTTAAATCAAGTCAAATTAATTCTTCATCCACTATCTCTTCGCATTCAATAAGGTTACCCTCCCGACATGACCAGACACCATCTTATATTCAATTTCAAGGTTCTTTATATACCATACAGTACACTATTGGTTCCAATTATTACAGCAATAATTGCTAATTATATTTAAAGACCAAGTTATAATTGCTAATTACATTTAAACACTAAGTTATAATTAGCTATAATTGCTAATGACTTACTAGTAAATACACGAATGAACCGAGAGAGTATTAAAGTGCAATCACACTCCTAAAAGTTTTCAAACTTTTTATATAATCAAAATATTTTTTATTGATATTTTATATTCTTGAAATCTTATTATGTTACATACCTTCGATTTTTAATATAATTTTTTTTAAATTCATGTAAGTGACTAAAATATTACGTTGGAGGTGAAGTAAATAGAAAGTCATCCTTCAATCTGTCTGCAAATGAATGATAAACGCTGTTTATCAAATATTGATAAAGAAATACAAATGAATGATGCAAATCAGTAAGGGATGATGTCCTCGCATATTTTTGGAAATGGAAAACAAGTTTTTATGAACATCCAAACAATATTTATGGAAGAATGGCAAAGGCAGAAAAACATGAACATAGATGCTGCTGGCAACATGGCATGAATTAGGTTGAAACCAATGATTCCCTCTCCTTCTCAACAAATTCTGAACAAAATCCCACAGGTAATTTATTGGAGAGAAAATGGAAGAAAAGAAAATATGACTGAATTTATCTAAATCCTTAGCACAGTTTATCTATCAGTGTCAGTAATCCTGCATCTGAACCGCCATTCCCTTGTTAAGAGAGTAGAAGAACAAAAAGAAATCCTTTGTATTTTTCTAGATATACATGTCTAACCCTTTTAAAACCTTCCAAACTAATGGAAGATAAGACACCTGTAGTCCAAGTAACAGAGAAGAAACCCCTCTAATGTCTTTCACCGGTTTACCTACCAACCTTGTAATAAAAATGTTGGTAGATAATGATATTGATAATCAAGGAACATCTATGAGAGAAGTGCTGCATTTTATATTAGGAGGTAAATTTATAAAATTTTAAGATGAGATAAATTTATAAAATTTAAAAATATAAATAACAAATTTTAAATATAAAAGAAATTAAAAAATTTAGAAGGGGATCGACCTCTATTACCCCGCTCGTTCATCCCTGCCTCAATCTAATGTTCTTAAAATTTTTTGCAGTGATTACCATGAAGCTGATTCATAAAATTAGATCACCAAGCCTCAATCTAATGTTCCTTTGGATATCTCTGACAAACTTTCATTATATGCCCAAAATAAGGTATAGAAGGAATTAACCCCCAAAAAAAAATTCAGAGATGCAACTGAAGCCATATGTATGTTTTTCATAAGATAGCCAATACAGGGAATTGCATACATAGATCAAACTAGAATCTACGTCAAAATTTACCCAGAAGAAAATAAAACAAAGGTGAGAAAAAGTTACAATAGTCCACCAAGTAATTAGCTTCTGTCGGCAAAACAAGTTTAAAGGAAAAAGAAAAGAAAAACTCAAGAATCCTAGAAGTATAAGAAAGGAGAAATCAGAACAATCTGTGTAAACTATTATCATGTAGAGCAGACAAGAAGAATATCATCTCCTCATCACTTCCATCATACTCTACCTGATTTTGCAGCCTGTGATAGTTAGACACGATCTCATCGGGTAAAACCTTTGTCCTACAAAGTGGGCAAGTAGCCCAGTACTGTTGGAGCCACCTATCAAGGCAGTCCTTGTGGAAAGTGTGTTTACATTTCAATTTCCTCACTTTCTCGCCTTCTTCCAGCTCCGACAAACACACGGTACACTGACTCGACGACTGATCTACCATGGACGATGATCTTGTGGAGTGAATGATTGTTGGGTTCTTTTCTTCGATGAATTTGAGGTACTGGGTGGTGCTGATGAGGCGTTTCTCGGAGTCGGAAACGCCGCCGGTGATGGACCTGATGAGGATTACGATTTCGAGGAGAAGGAGAGTGAAGACGACGACGGTCATGGTGTAGAGGTGGGAGAAGAATTCAGTGAGAGCAGCCATGCTTGGTGGAGGAAGCAGATGAAAAGTTATCTGGATTTGTAAATGAGGGAAAAAGCCTATCTTTTTTACTTGATGACCCACACTCTGCCCTCCAAAGCCTAAAGCCGTACGTAACTTTTCGTCTTGTGATGGCAACGCTATATAAATTATAGGGTTTAGTATACAACTAGTTCCCCAACTATAGAGCTCTATTTTATTTAGTCATATGATTATAAAAATTATAAAATAATTCTCTAGCTATAGGACGTTATTTTATTGAGTTCTTCGATTATTAAAAGTTAAAAAATGGTCATTTAACTATTCATATCTTCCAAACTCATCATTTTTCGTTAAAAATAATGAATCTATAAGCTAAACATTAACTTGTTGTTAGAAATATTATAAAATTATATTTTTAATGATGACTATTGGCATCGATGTTACTTTCAAACATTAGCTTAATGATATAATACTTCAAGTACTAATTTAGTGGCATAATGTAAATGAAGATTCGATCCACAAAATAAAGCTCAAATGATTATGGGATAAAATTTTATCATATCCTAGTTAACATGTTAATGTCCAGTTTAGGCGATCGCCACGGAAAAAGATGAATTTGGAACTAGCCAAGTGACTATTTTATAACTTTTAATAGTCAGAGGCTAAGCAAAGTAGTTTTCTATAGTTGAGAGATTATTTTGTAACTTTCAATAGTTAGTGGACTTAACAAAATAGTTCCTATAGTCGAGAGACCATTTGTGCACTTTACCCTAAATTATTTGAGTTTTTAATTCAATCATACACACACATATTATATATATATATATATATATATACATATATTTAAGAATTTTGATTTCAACCTCTTTAATAAAATAATCAACCATGAGTAAAATGTTTGAAGATTTAAAAAAAATATTGATAAAATCTGTGGTTTAATTAGTAATAAATATTTATTATTCACAATAAATTGTTTATTATTTTTAAATATGATTTTATATTATTTTTAAATGTGTCATAATCACATAAATTATATTTTTCTTATCTTATTAAATTCAATATTTATTGTTTTTATAATTATTTTTAAATTTTTAATCATAATTATTAAAATAATTAATTCTATAAAATGTATATTTAAAAATATTTGAATGAAATTTTTTAAAAATATATATTTTTCAATTTTTTTATAAATAATAAATTAAAATTTTATAATCACAATATAAAGATGAGAGGTGAATTTCTTCTCATCATCAAACCTACCTTAACAGCAGATTAGATTAATTAAAAGTCTCTATACACTGAGTATTAGCTTAACTAGGATAATAAATGTAATTACTCCCAATATTTTAAAATTATATATATAAAATTTGAAGTGTATATAAAATAATATCTGATAAAAATTTCTTAATCATTTGACAATTAATGCTCTACCATCACTATATATGTGGTACTCAAACATGAAATATTAAGAAATAAAAATAAATCTATTAACTATTAAAATCACTAAATTCATAAAAATATATATAAAAAATCAATATAAACATATAGTATTTTTATATAAAAAATTAATAATTTAACTATCATATAAAAATATTATTATTCCTGTGAAGCGCAACAAGCCCACCCATATTTTATTTTCAATTTTTGTACGTTCTTCCGTCGTATCCGATGCTGCGGTTCCTTTTTTGTCCACCCTCCTATCCGGTGTTTCATTCAAAAAATTAAAAAGTCAATGGTCACTAATTTTAGGTAAGTATCCGTTTTTATCATTAATGTTTAAAAGTCACAAATCGATCACTAACGTTATCTTTTATTACAAAATGGTCACTCACGTTAACATCCGTTAATAGGTGTGACGAAAAACACAGCTGGACTGTTATATGTTGAGTTGGATTGTTGACTGCCATTTTGACCTCTTCTTCGTCTTCTTCAACCCATTCCCTATCTTCTTCTTCACTTTTCTTCTTCTTTCTTTCTCTTCATTTTTCTTCTTTTCCTCTTATCACATACATGAGACAACTCTCACCTCCAAAGGTCAAACCAAATATGGAAACTTGCTTTATCATCATCATCATCATCATCATCATCATCATCATCACCATTTCTTTACTTCTTGGAGCTCTTTGATTTCACTACCCCTTTGATTTCTATGAATAGTTTCTCTTGAACATGAGGGCAGAGTTTCAAATCACGGTCTGAAAACGTGATTTCATTCGCGAAATAATGGTTTCGTCGCTGTTCGAGTTACCCGCTACACTTGTAATAGTGCCCGCGACGGCCACAATCATGATAAACCCGAAATGACCAAAAACGCGACCGCGATTTGAAATCCTGCACGAGGATATTTCACAATGTTCGGCATGATTCACTGTAAAGCAATGAAATTAGTGTATATTCTGGCGTTCAAAAACTCGAAACATAAGCTGATGATTTTCTTTTCCGTTAGTTTCCTCTTTTCCTTCGGGAATCGAAGATGGAGCAATGTATCGACGTACGACAAGACGTCATTGCCTTTCGATTTTTTTAGGACTCTTATCAGACGAACCAACACCTTCTCCTGGTCTTCAATGGCATTGAGAAACTTATTCCAAAGTTTACGAAGCAAAAACCAAGTCACCTTAGGCCAAAATTTGAGTATATTAAATCTTTCGCCCGAGTCTATCAACAAACGCTACTGCACAGTTTCAATCTCTATGATCTGATCTTTTTAAGCTTGTCAACGAAACACATCAACACTAACAAGAAGAACATGGCGTGCTAAAATTCATCAACCACACGAACCATTTTTCCAGTTTTCGAGCTCGACGTGAAAGAATACAGCAGGATTTGAAAAACCCATTTTTTAGCATGAAAATACGTTTTGTCACACGAAGGATGGAGGATTTCGCACGTGATGTTACGCCTCAAAAGTCTCCAAGTCGAACCATAGGAAGATGAGCTTATGCTATGTCGATTGCGACCTATAATCTTGCCGATTACAGTTTGAGCATCGGGACGATCATCAAATAAAACACCACTTTGGACTAAAACCTGGTGGGTGAGGGAAAGATCGGAGACATAAATGGCGGGACGAGAAAGAATATTGAGAGTGACTATCGGACCGAACTTTGTGTGGAGGTTAGGAGGATCGGCTCAAGCTCGAAAAGCTTTCGCCTTTCCATAGGATGTGGAGATAATGGGAATGTTGGGAGGGTCTGGAGGGAGAGTTTGGGATTGTGTTTTGGAGGTGGAAGATCAGAGGTTAAAAAGAGATTCAAGAAGTAGAGAAATGGTGGTGATGATGATGAAGCAAGTTTCCATGTTTGGTTTGGCCTTTGGAGGTGATAGTTGTGTCATATGCGGATAAGAGGAGAAGAAGAAAAGTGAAGAGAAAGAAAGAAGAAAAAAAGTGAAGAAGAAGAAAAGAAGTAGAAGATGGGAACGAGTTGAAAAAGAAGAAGAGTTGAAAAAGAAGAAGAGCCGAACAAAATGACGGTTCAGTTGTGTTTTCCGTCACGCCTATTAACGGTTGTTAACGTCGAGTGACAATTTTGTAACAAACGATAACGTTAGTGATCGATTTGTGACTTTTTAAACATTACTGGTAAAAACGAACACTTACCCTAACATTAGTGACCATTGACGTAATTTACCCAAAAAATATGAATAAATCAATTTTAATGATTAAACAGATATTTATTATTTTTAAAAAATTTAAATTCAAACACGACATTTATATGGATGTGTAAACATTCATTGTAGATAATTAAAAATATTTTAAATATATATTATACTATACTAAAAAATCATGTACTATTTAAATGTAATAATTGAAAATATATTGAAATTTGAATGTGTATATATATGTGTACTATTTGATGGAGTTATTTTCTAAAAGTAAATATATAATTTTATAAATATGTTGTTATACATACTATAATATAATAATCATTATATGACAGTGAAATTTAGACTCATAACATCCATCGAACTTTTTAACCACTTTTCAAACAGTGACATGACACATGAATTATATGATAATTTACACTCTATCTTCCTTTATAAAATCTATATTCTACAAAGTAGGATTCTCTTTTCCTTTCAAGCCACCCATGATTCCTCCTAAAATCCACTGCATCATTTGTTGCTTTGGGTACGGTCATTTAAATCCTATGAACTATAGACGTAACTGATAATAGGTTAATGTCTCCAAATATAAAAAATAAAATACATATTAGAATTTAATTATTAAGTCTAGAACAAATATATTTGACCGATTGATAAAATTATTCATATTTATTTTTTATTTCTTTAGATTATGGATTCTAGATCTTTTAAAGCATTCCCCATATTGGATTTAAAATTTATAAGAAAAATTTTGAGTCTAAATTTAAAATTTATAAGAAAAATTTTGAGTCTAAATTTAAAATTTGAAGGGTATAATTAATTAATTTAAATTTAAATTGTATAAAGATCTAAGTAGTTTAATGAAAACAATAAGAATATTATTTGTTTTTATCTAATATCAAAATCTATATGGATTCAAGTCGATTTTAAAATTAATAGAGATTTTAAAAATAATTAAATTCATAACATTTAAAAAGCAATATTAATTTACATAATAATTTTGTGTCACTTCCATATAAAATTTATTTTATTTTCCATTTTTAAATCATTCCATCCTTTATAGACCTAATTGTTGAAAGTTCAAGATGACAACATTGAAAGTCCAAGATGGCAGCATAGATTGATGAAAACTTTCGGTGCCCAACTTAGCCAAAATTTCAACAATAAGTTGGCTGCATGAAAATGTTGATTTTTTAGAAATGGTATAATCTCACATTTAGTCATTGTACTCTAGGGTATTTTCAAGATTAATCCTTTAGCTTCAACTATAAATACCCTAGCTCATTTAACTTCAAATCCATCCCAAAGCATTCTAGCTTTCTTCCAAAAGTAGAGAAAATTTAGATAGTTTCTTGAGAGTTGTTTTCTCCTTTTTATCAAGAGAGAATTATCATTGTTTTCTCCTTGTTAGATCGAGAGAGGTTATAATTCCTATTTTCTCATAGTGAATTTCTTCTACCGTT